AAAGCCGCATCCCTATAATTTGCTTTACTTGTCATGGAAATTACATAATGGATACGATTCAAGTGATAAAGATAAACCGCTTAATATTAATTCTCAAATTATTAAGAATCTTTATATTGGATTATTAGGATTATCTTATGAATAATATCAATTACCACTTCGTTCAAGATGGGAATATGAACTACAAATGGCCAAACAATATCTTAACCGATATACTGCTCACATTAAATTTACACAGTAGTTTATTAGAGAAATGGAAAACTACAAAAATGTTCCAAAGTCTTATCTTAATGAATAGTATCTTTTCAAGTCTTGGCTTGACAATTCAAAATTAAACATTCAAATCAAATGTTTAGTAAATTTCACTGAACATTTTTATGAGCCTCTTATACAGTTTATGATAGGTCACGATCCTATTCCATGAGTTTATCAAAATAATCAATTGGTTACTTTACCTTCCGGTCGTCGAGCCCACGAGATGCCGGATAAAGTCTCTGAATGGCTTGATTTTCTTAGAAATCTCAAGGATAACTTTGACATGTTTTTTTCTGACCAACTATTGGAGGCTATAAATTTATTGTCAAATGAAGAATTTGACAATCTTTTTAATAGTTTGGAGCTTGAAATTATAGCAGCTTTAGAATATTTCGAAAAATAGTTTTCATAGTGGCTTCATTTATCACTAACAATATGTCAACTTGGTGGAAGCAATGCACGATCATTTGCAGCTAGTTACTATCATGTGATTCTTCAAAATTCTTAGATTTATCCACCTTCTGACTTAGAATTATATTATGCTCAATTCTTGGAGGATGATAAAAATAACAGTGTAGAAAATAACTTTGGATTACATGCAATGCTATTGTCTAATTACAACTTTCTTAAAGAATTCGAACAATTTTGCATTTGCGAAAATCTAAAAATATATGAGTTTCCTAAACTTTATGACTTTGTTAAAAATCATATTTATTTTATAATTATACATCAGCAGCAAGTTGAAGGTCTCTTCAACAAATTGGACTTAAAAACGCATGCAAACATGTCAGAATTAATGAAAGAATCAAAGCTTCGCTTGTCATCTAACAAGATTTCAAAAGAAAATTTAACCGATGAATTGAATGAAATACGAAAACTAAGAAATCAAGCAAAACAGTATCCATTACAAGATGCTCAACCACAACTATTTGGGCCTGACATTGCGTCAAATCTTTTTAAGCAAATACTTTATTAATTAATTAGCTTTTAATATATACAATTTATATTAAATATTGTAATAAATATTGCTGTAATAAAAATTGTATAGTAATAATATATTAAATATCGAAAAATCTTTATAATCGCTATAAACCATAATTTATATAATTAACATGCATTACATTGTAACATGAAAAAACTTCATAACAAATTTTTATATATAGTTTTGATTTACTTAGTTGAGACGTAACCCCATTGATTCATGTATTTATATAAAAATATATTTAAAGAACATGAAAATTAATTTACAAAACTTACATCTAGGCAAAATCTAATTCTGTAATTACAATATAAACTTTAATGTGAGTTAGGGTTTGCATAGGATAAAAAATTAGACTTTTGCCGTCCCACAAAAAATATAATATATTATGTTTTTAAAAAAGGTTGACCCGCATTTTACTAAGTTTTTGACATATTTGACCTGCAATTTACTAATATCTTAAAAATTTTTAATTTTGGCACGTGCAGGTCTCTAATGTAATAAACTATAGTAAAAATTCAAAGTTTAAATATAAACTTAAATAATATTAAATTAAATTTTCGTGTTGCACTTTGTGTAATTTAGAACGTATTTCCGCGTTGTTTATTATTTCGACTTCATTATTTGTATTACGATTTTCGTCGGCTGAGTTTCGATGTATGTCAAATATATACTACCGTGAAACTTTTAAAAATAATTACCCATATATACCCAGGTGTTTGATAAGTTCTAGACAGGACCTTTCTTTTAATCATTAAATATAAATCACCAAATGTTATTATACTACGTATATATATATAAAATATGTAATTAATAATTAGAAATCGTTATAATCTTTTTATATAATAAAAACTAATACTAGCGGAAATATAAAATGGTCCTTATACAACCACCCGGTATAGATACATAGTAACATCTACGAATAATGAATAACAAAATTTCGTGACATTGGTTCTTAGTAACTTGAATAGATTCGACATAACCAGCTAATCAGTTGATATCATAACCGGTTAACCGATAATAAAAAGTTGGTACGTTTCGCCGGTAAGAGCATCGAAGTATTATTTTCTAATTCTCGATTATTTTCAGTGTTTTTAACAGAAACGCTCTTATCAGCGAAAACTCCAATGTTGCACTGAATTGAATACTATAGTGTCGCTCATATTCGATAAGATATTAATGATTATTGACTCGATACGATTGACGATTTTATACTCATTGAAATCATTAGCTCTTGCTTGTGTTAACTTTCTAAGAATTTAATAAATCTCGAGATTTACTTTTCCAAAAACTGTTAGCGCTTCTCAAATTTCGATGTGACTTAGCCAAAAAGTTTATAATTCAAAGTTTATTTTTGATGTGAAAAACTTTTTAATTTATTTAATAACCCTACTTAGTCACTAATCACTCTTATATTCTTAATTTTGAAAATGAACCGAAATTTTAATAATTTTTAGAATCGATTTAATGAATTTGACCGGTTTTTGAGTTCGATACTATTGACCGAAAATGGGACTTATCCCAAATGAAGTAGAAATTCCCATACCAAAACTACGTAACAACGTCATCATCATTCTCGTCAGCGAGTTCTGGATACGTAATATCAATAAAGTTTCATCTAACAAGAATTAAAAAAGAATAATTATTTGTAAGATTGTTTTAAAAAAAAAAATGTTACCGTTTTTGTACACATCAGGATATTTTTTGAAGCAATCATTCATTTCTCTAAAAGCATCTAAGCAATCGGCCCCTTTTTGTTCAGCATTCGAATATATAAAACATGAAAACGCAGCTTTAAATTGTTCTCCACAGGGACCCTTGGCCATACCTCCTAGGCATGGACAATCCCAATTGATTTCACCAGTTTCTGGGTTATAGGCACCGTCTTGCGTTTCCTCATTAGTGTTTTCCAAAGTCTTTTCATCATCAATTTTCTGAGAGGCGTTTTCATCAACTTGCTTGGAATCCGTTATATCGTTTATTTCAGACTTTGCAAGTTTTATCTCGACTGACATATCGCGCATGAATAATTTAGACGATTTCTTTTAGAGATCGTTGTCCTATTTATTCGCGAAATCTGATTTTCTGATCATGTGTAACATCTAAGTTACGAACAAAATTTTTTTCCGACATGTGACTTGTTAGCGGACTTATCGTTATTAATTCATATTCAAACAAGAAAATTGCTTTGCCTTAATAATTGTCGCAGATCATAATTTAAAATGAAATCTACATTTTCTATTCAACCTTCTAACCTTCTAAAACCCACTTATACTTGTTTAATATATTTTACTCTAATCCTAACTCCTAATTCTAACCCCTAACCCTAAAAAATACACACCAAAAAAATTTATTTTTCGAGATTTTATATTATTATTTCATTTTAATCTGAATTTCATTTTAATCTGCCACAATAATTACTGTTCCTGATGGAATAGAAAAAAAAAAAAGATTTATATACTGTTCCTGATAGGGTGGATCTCATTTCCTTGACACTCATTTTATCTACAGCCATTTAACCGACATCACATAGGGTTAGGATTAGCATTTTATTAGTTGCAGATATATATTAATAGCAAATTGTCACCCGCGTGATGTCGATCTAGCAAAACGTCCTGATAGGGTTTTTAAAAGAACTTACATAAGAATGCTAAAGTCATAGCTTGTGATTAAAACTGACCTTGAAGATTCTTGAAATAATGAAGATACAGTATTTTTGTGTTTAACATTTACTTAATAAAAGGCTGCCATATGAGTTATATTGTAGATATTTCTTATAAATACTGCGATAGATTAATATAAATATATATTCATGAAATAAAATCTATATTAATGTAAATGAAGTTGAATAATAAATGTTTATAAAATTGAATAAATAGCTTATTTTATATACAGTATATAATTAGGTTAATACATATATATATAAATGTTCTTTATACATTCAAGATAAATTGTATATGAAGTTAAATGGGTCGATCGGATAAATCAAACCCGAGGACCAGTTCATATTTGTATGCTACAGTTGTTCTCATAAATTTTGGGACAAATTAAAAAATTGGCTCTTTATCGATATTTTTTCGGCTTCGTCCCGTAAATTATCTAACTCTCCAGAAACTATATCGCTATCTTCGAACGAAGCAGTGATGTAGTTTCCGGAGAGCTGGATGATTTACAGGACAAAACCGAAAAGATTTCGGGTAAAGAGCAAATTGTTTAATTTGTCCCCGAATTTATAAGAACAGTTGTAATCATCTTTTTACTTTTATTGATTGAATAACTATTGAATCAATAAAGACAAACATGAACTGGTCCTCGGGTTTGTTTTTATCCTATCGGAAATGTCGGAAGGTGATTTTCAAGGCAAAAACCAGTATTTGGATTATAGTGCATAAAGATAATTGTTGAAAAAAGAAACTCCGATATATCCCGCGTCCGGGAAGAACCAACAATCTACTCATACTAGGTAATCATAGTAGTCCCTACGTCTTAGCCGTTAAGCCATATCGTTTTGTTTTTTGATTAGAAACTAGCCAATGTATTATTTTCCAGTACCCACGTGCTATAAAAATTTTTAAAAGGAACCGGTATTTTTACACCTGAATGTGACGTATCAATATGCTAATTTAGACATTTATGTATAGTTGTACATCTAGTCCACGTTCGTTATTAAGCAAAGATAATGTAAATTAACAATTGTGACATGGATAGATTTTATTTTAGACTTGAACATTTTCTAATTGTGGTTGCGATCTTTGAATTATGTTACTTTTGGTAATTTTATTTGGGTTTCAATGGTTATGGATTCTGTTCTACGTAAAGTGTAGAATCGGTGAATATTTATTCTATTATCGATCAAAATTTTGAGTATCGGGATAAATTTTTATTTAATTCGATCGATTATTGAGTTTTGGTAGGGATAAAATTTTTTAAATAAGTTTTTTTATAAATAATGATGGATTAGGGTGACTTTTTAGATTACTCTAAACTTACGACGTAGTTATGATAGATGGTTAATGTGAGGCAAATCATTTGATTCTAAGTATATTTATAAGAAGAGTTGAGCTTTAATGTTAGAGAGATGAAATTTAATAGTAAAAGGAGGTGGGTTTTAAGGTGGGAAGATGGGTTTGAGGTGATAATTATATTAGTTGTATTGTTTTTGGGGTTCAGTTTAATTAATATGTTATATGGTTGACTTTTATAATGCAATAATTAAATAGTAATTTGGGGTTTTTAATTTTTGCCTATATAACTGCAAAAATGCACTTGAATGTCAATAAATTTTTTAAGTTGATATAAGTAAAACGTGGAATTTGATTTAATATTGAATAAAGATAGACATTGTATTTTTTGTAAATTTTTCTTTAAACTTAGTTATTATTATTATAGATTTGATAATTATGTTTTTAGTGCATAAGGGTTGGTTTTTATTTATTTAAGCATTCTCATTATTACGGCTTAAAATCGGTATTAACAACGGTTACGGGAATAAGAATATGCAATAATGTTTTATAACAATAAAGAAGGATAACCTAATTGCAATTAGTAATTAACAACTTGGCGAATAATTTCTATGTAAAGTTTTTTTTTTTTAATATGAATACGATATATGATCAGTAAATACAATAAGAATGAAGTTTGTTAATATTGACATATATGTTATATGTTTTATAGTTTTATATGATATTTATATGAAAAGTCTAAGAGAAAATGTGAGGTCTTGTTCTAGAAATTTCTTCAAGTCTTTGATATTCTAGGATAACGTTTTGGTCGGTCATAAATACCGATCTATCTAAGTGAGATATTTCGATGCTATTCTAATTAGAACACCTGCTAAGAGCTACGTAAGCTTGACCGGGAGAGAAAATGTTTTCATCTAGTGCGAGAGAAACCCTTGACAATGTTAGGCCTTGAGTTTTATGAACAGTAAAAGCAAAGCAATTTTGTAATGGGAATTGGGTGCAATGACAATTATTTCTGTTGATTTCAAAGTAGTGGGTTTCTTTGTAAATATCTATATCGATTATAGAGCCTCTGACAGAGAATGCAATTCTTGCAAATTGGTTAACAGGGTTTACATTAGTGATTATGCCTACAGTGCCATTATATATTCCTCGTTCAATTAAAGAATTGTTAAGATACATGATGTGCGCACCTGGTTGTAAACGAATGCACGAAGGTAGATTTGTTTTAGATTTGAATATTTGATCTGAGGTTAAAGGGTCCCATTCTGAAGAGTTTATAAAATCAGTAGCTCGTGATATTAGGAATTTATCTTCGAAGGTGGGGAGTAAATCACAGACCATTTTGTTGATTCATTGGGCATTTTCTCTAAACCCAACAATGTGAGTAGTATTGAGCATGATATCGATTATAGGTCTTATTAAAAATTGTGAATGTTTTTGTTGTAGCATTTGCCAGGTGTTGTTAGAAATGTTACTAGTTCGCACTTCTTCTAGTAGAGCATAAAATTGAAGATCATTGTTTTGACATTGAGAGGTTCTCAAAAATAATGGATAAAATAATGTCCAAACGGTTGCACAGAAAACATACTGGCTGGTAATGGGGGGAAGTTGAGCAAGATCACCAACTACTATGACGTTTATACCACTGAAAGCAATAGAGTTTTCATGAAGATTTGCAAATAAATTAGAAACAAAATCTAGTAGTTCTGCGGAAACTATAGAGATTTCATCAATGATAATAGTATCAACTTTTTGTAAGTGAGATTTTAATTCTCTATCGGTTAAAGCATGTGTCTGGAAACCTCCACCAGTAAATACGATGTGTAGTTCAGAATGAATGGTTTTACCGCCTATGTTTTGAGCTACTACTCCGGTAGGAGCTAGTAATAGGTGTGTTGAATTTTTTCTGTTAAGCATATTTACTATCATGTTGATTATATAAGATTTTCCTGTCCCAGCTGAGCCAGTTATAAAGTAATATGGCTATTTAGTACCGTCGGCTCGACCCATATACATGAAAATAGTTGTTAGTGCCTGATATTGCTCATTAGGTAATTCTAATATTGTTACTGACAGAAATATTTGAGGAAGAATTTTTAGGTCATCCATCTAGATTTGTATTATGTGCTGAAGGTTGTTTGGAAGTTGCTCATTTAATGACTGGAATAATCTATCTAGCATTTAAATAAATTGACTATTTAAACAGGTTAGTCAGGAGTGTTGTGCGATTGTTGTCTGGTTTTGTAGATTTGTTAAAAAGTCAGGAAAAAAAGATAAAAATTTATCTCGATATGTTCTGTTTGGACTAAGTTTGTAGTCTGATTCGTCTCTTGCAGGGAAGTTTAACAGTAATTGTTGGTAAAAATATAGCTCTCTGTCTTCAATATTAAGAAATCGATATCTAGTTAATAGTTCTTTAGTTCTTTTTACAACATAATTAGATAAATCATCACGGTAAATTTGACGTGACATTGGTGCTGGTTGTGAGGGTGTGATTGAGTATTTTTCAAAGTATTGAAGGTAAGTGAGATTTTCAAATTCAGAGTCATGAGGACGAGATATGTACTTTGTAATTGTGTCATCGTAATATGGATTTTCATCGTCCTCGTCTATTATAAAAGCAGGAAGCACTGCACAGGATCTTGTGGGAGGAGGTTCGATAGTAAGAAATTTTACGGTAGCAGAAGAGCTACATATCTGATGACCTAGAAGTAGGTACATTAGTTCTATTGAACTAAGTCATTGTACAACTACATGTTCTCTAAGCAGGTCATTCTCATATATGTTGAATATATACGACGGTTCAGTTTTTGTTATATATTTTGTTATGTATCATTCGAATCCTCTATTTGTTATATATTGCGCATTCATATGCGCATTCTAGAGTAAAAGTGTTGGGCATGATAGGGGACTACCTAGGAGTCTGCTTGAGATAAGCATTTGTAAGTGTAACGAGAGTTGTTTTCTTCATAATGGGTTGTTTCACTAAAAGGACGTGGAAACCTTTTTTTACATGCTGGAATTGCTGGTCCTTGGCATCTTGCATCGCAGGTATGTATTTGGTTTGCTAAAACAGCAGCGTATAGTTCAGATTCATGTTCAGGGTCTGGCACAGTTGATCTTATTACATTTGTTGAAATCATGACTTCGATGGTATTAGTTGTCCAGTAGCAATTATGCATATGCACGGCTCCCCTATTTTGAAACTCTACTTTATCGAAAAAATTGGTGATATCACCAAATCTCGTGAGATCTGGTTTTTTATAAAGTTCATTTTTTAAAGATTGAAATCTGTGAACAAAATAATTTGCACAGTGGAATGGTCTGTTTGTAGGCAAGGTGTCACCATTATCACTATTGCAGAGTATATCGTGGAGGTGAGTCCATCTACTCTCTGCCATACTCAGAGTTATAAATAAAGTAGGTAATCTGAACTTTTGTAACATGGCATTTAAATGGAGTTGCTTTTGGTGAAAATAAGTATTACCCGTACGTACAAAGGATGGAACAGGAATTATTATGTTTTCATTAAGAATGTTGCGTGATGTGTAATTACTAGGCTGGAGTAGATCTCTTCCTGATGGAAGAGGTTCGTTATTAATCGGATAGGTGCTATTTTGTCGTAATAAGCATTGCATGTTTTGGTGATATCTTAGTTTTTCTAATTGAAGGTAGGACCATGATGGCCAATAATGGTGAAGCCTCCATCTAGGATCAATATTCATTAATCTTTGTTTAATGTATTTTTCATACGTTTCAATACGCATCTCATTATTCGATTGGAGTTGATTTAATATGTCATGAAAATGCTCTTTATCGTCTGTGAATAGATCTGGAAATAACAAAGGTTCTAAATTTGGATCATATATAGAGATTGGTAGACGTAAATTATCACTTTTTTGAACGAAACCTGCCATTAATCTAGTATAGTGAAAATCTTCGTTATGGATTTCATCTAGAAAGTTATAATTCAGTATTACTATGTCGTGTGGATTAACGGCTGGTGCATTAGAGTTGGTATGTCTAGCTCTTGAAAAGGGATTATTAGGCTCATGGGTCCTCTCACTTGATAAATTGTTGGCTAATGAATGTAAGTAAGGATTGTTTTGGGCTAGCCAGATAGCAGCACGACGTAAAGTTTTGTTGTAAATAGAATTATTTTCAGAACTATTAGTGTCGTTGTCATTTGGTTCTAAGAAAGCACCTAGAATTCCAGAATATAACGCATGAGCTCTGACATTACATGAGTAGTTCATAGTACCAGTCAGACTTTTATATTCTGAGTAAGAGTTACTATTTGGAGTTCTTCCTAAAGAACAATGTAAGTAAATAGGCGATAAGTATTTTTGTTTGTGTAAGGGACTGAAGTAATTTCATCTGGCATCGGTGATAGGTGGGAAATGAGAACCTTATAGAGATTTTATTACAAGAAGTACAAGTAGGGACTCTTAACTCAGTGATACGGTCACGATTAGAGTTGAAAGATAAAGTGACATTAGGTACATGAATTTGTAAAGGATAAGTAGTTGAAAGGTCATAAATTATCCAAGAGGCTTTCTTGGAATATAAGAGTTTTCCGCAATATACGCAGGCAATTCGAGGCCATTGAGTTAGAATATCGTTTTGGAATTGGTTATATAAATTTTGGAATTTTGTTGAAGGTCTCCAATATGTATTATCGGCACTTTGATTTTGAATGTCAGTATTATGTGACTTGACGTGAGGATCAGTGGTGGGCGAATGGACCAATCTTGTAAGGTTTCATATTCATCATCAAATATATAAACGTTATGAAGTTGATGCATCATGGTTTAGTTTTTTTTAATTTAAATAAATTAAAAAATGGTAAACTGGAAGGTCGATAATTATGAGTAAGTTGGATTTAATGAGTTAATATGAAATATATTATGTGCGTGAAAGTTTTAAGGGTGAGATATGATTAAAAGTATTAATATTCATGCAGTGTTACGGAATAAATTGACAGGAGAGAACTTAAATAAAATGATAAAATGAGGCATTCGCCAAAGGCATGAGGTTTGTGATTTAGCAAAATTTGTTTAGAATTTATTTAAGGTTGGTTTTTATATTTATTTAATTCAATTGTTATTTTATTTACAAAGGCGAAATTAATCTATTTTTATATCTTTTACTATCCTAAGAATTTCAAGAGACTTTGAACGATGAGTCATTTTAATTTACAGCCTAAACTTATTAAAAGGCTCAATTTAGTCTAAACGAAGATGCTTCGCTGTAAGATTGTACTGATAGGTGAAAAAATGAAATAGACTTTAAAGGTAATTTTTATTATTAATATTTTAAGAATTTCAAGAGATTTTGAATGATGAGTCATTTTAATTTACAGCCTAAACTTTTAAAAGGTTTAATTTTGTCTAAATAAAGAGGTTTCCCTGTAAGATGGTACTGATTAAAAAAATAAAATTGGTTTTAAAGGTAATTTTTATTATTTTGCCATTTCTTGAAAGGATTATACAAGAAGTTAACACGTTGGTTCCTTTTATTTTTTAGATTTCGTTTACACGTACTAGTTTTTCGGTTGTCACGTTGGTTAATTATCACTATTTGGCCAATAAGCCTCATGTTATAATTGAAGTTCCAAACTTGTTTGGTGGGTTGATGTTTTAATTTTTCCAGTTTTGGATGAAATGTCACTTTAACTCGTGACAGCGAGGAAGAGAAGTCGAGATGATTGTAATTAATAAGAAATTATAATGACTATTTAAGAAATTTGAGAAATTAAACTAAACATAAGAATTGCCTTCAGTTTGGAATTGTCTGAGAGGTAAATCTTTGGAATAAGGACAATTAATTCTTATGCTATAACAAATTACGAGTATTTTTAAAAACAAAAATTTTTTTTTTTTTTTTGCAATTTTGAAGTAAATTTAAGATTGGGTGTAATGTAAATAAATGAAATCCTTGATGGAGTAACAGTAATTTATCCGTAGTATACTAAAAAGAGATTAGTGTAAATCCATTAATTGCTGTATAACGATTCTAGATAAATAATAAGTTAAATGCAGATAATTTGGAAGTTCTAGAAATAATGTTCATAAAGATAAGTAAATTAATACGAGAATTCAAATTTTATATGAAATTATATAAATTTTGCAATTTCTGAGTTACAACCCAGATAGCTAAGCGATCCCGGGCTGGGATATATGTTTATTCAAAGATTGAAAAAAATAGTGAAGGTATTGAATATATTGTGATTTACGAGAACATTGCAATAGAATTATGAATTTAAAAAAAACTCTTCCCAACGATCCCTCAAAAATTACAAAAAATAACAAAATAGAAGAAATCTACAATAAAAAGTACCTAAATAAAGCCAGAACATAGACAAAATTAGTACAAAACGCAAGAGAACAACCAACACAACAACTAATACTACAACAACACAACAACAGCGACAAAAACACAACAAGAAGACTAAAAACAACAAAAACCAGTCCCTAACGGACTTGGTAAAAGAAAACGATAGACAAGAGCAGAGCTATATATACATACCAGTATATGCACCTAAACTACCTATAGATAATAGAATGAATAGCCAAGAAGAACAAAACACAAGCAACAACCAACAAACTCCAGCCCAAAGCAAAAGACGCCGCTACAATAACATACCAATCTCTACAACCAACAAAAAATTGACAAAAAGTGGGCAAAACAGCTTACCCCCATCAAAACGCACAATGACATCATACGTCACACAAAACAACACAACAACAACTATAATGGAAAACAACAACAACAACAACATGACTATCATGGGATACAACAACGTACAAAACAACACAAACACAACAGACACACAAACAAACAAAACACATGATCCAACATCCAATACAGGTAATAATACTACAACAACACCAATGCAGACAGACACAGAAGATACAACACCTGCAACTCGGGACCAAAATAACGATACACAACAAAAATCTTACAGTCATATATTGCAGCAAAACATCCCACAACAGAGCCAAATGCAGATAGATGAGGAAAACCTAAACGAACAAACACAAAGTTGGATCAAGCATATACTCAAAGAACTAGATAAACAAAACCAAAACCAATTTGATCATAGAAACTGGCCACTAGACAAAATAATTACAGCACTCGATGATGCAAATGGCATTAAGGAATTCATAACGTATAAACTGACAACTCAACCTACACAACACCATATTCCAAAAGCTATATCTCTCAAATTCAAATACCTAGACCCAGCATTTTTCACATCCTTCACTCAAAATAGACAAATCACACCTGCACATCAAAAAGAATTCACTGACCTACTCAAAGCTGCTATCTCTAAATACAAACACAAAAACGAAATCACTCTAACAAACAGAGAAACGAGAGACTTAATCCAACACAAATTAAGACAGAAATTGATGATAGAGTACCTTACAAATCTCAACTTCAGACAACTCCAACCAAGTAAAGCATACCAAATAATCAAATACAGTCGAAACTTCATACGCGCAAAACCTATCGAGGAATACAAACAAATCCAAACAGCTGTAAACCAAGCATACAGCATCCAACGACAACAACTACCAGAGACCCCAGAGGAAATAGATAGCGAAACAAGAGACATACTACCTTTTGAATTACCTATTGAACACAGGTCCCAAACTAGAGCAATCGTCAACTCCCTTAGAGTAATCTTCAACTTCCCTAACCTACCAGACACATACTTCAAAGAACTGCCAGAACTCCCAGACAAACCATCAGAACTAAAAGAAGAACTCAAAGCATATTTCCCCATTACAGATCCAAAACAACTAAGAGACTTACGATTCTACAAAAGGAAACTCATTGACCATTACAGCTTTACAGAAATACCACCAACCTACTTCGATCTTCCTCCAGAAAGAGAACCTCTACCACTAACCTACCATGAATTAAACAGTGGAGTCAGACACTTCTTCCCTATTGACCCATCACTTGCAGAAACAAATATCCGAGAGATAGCAGAGATGCTCAGGAAATATTACAAGTTCAGAAGCATACCAAATGATTTCTTCGTACAAAAACCTATCCTACCACAGGATCCAACCAAACTAAAATTACATACCCAATACACATACCCAATTACCGATGACAAAACAGCACGCGAATTCTTCAACGAAGCAAAAGCAAAATACAAGATAAACTTCCCAATAAACCAGGCAATTCT